AAACGAAAACATCCCGAGGTCTCCGACTACTTATATAAATTATATATACTTAGATCTTATATTAAAAATCTGATATCTAATATGGAATATCTCTAGATGATGCTCAAGAACTATTTGAACTCTTTACGTTTTCATCAAACTTGTTTGTAGTTTTAGGGCTTGGGTAATTGGCCACCTTCAGCTGCTTGCGGTCTCCCACGTACCTATTTATATATTATGCAAATGTATCAGAGACTGGATTTTGATAGAAACGGTTAACTAGGACATCTATTCTACCCCTTTATGATCTTGTATGACTCTGTTAGTCCTATTCTATACTCTTTTCTAGCGGGGAAGGCCGAACTCTTTCTTCTCTCCCTCTTCCTCTTTATTCTTCTCTCTTTCTACTTAGCCTCTTTACATTCTCTCTACCTCTTCCTACCTTCCAATATCCATCCTCGGTCGCGGATGTCGCTCTCTTATGCTGACAGGTGTTGAGCACCCGCGGTTCGCATAACGTCAACAAACCCCCCAGAAATGGTCTCCCAAGCTCAGATCGTTGATCGCACAACTCAAAGCACGGCTTCATTGGTGTCGCGTCCCTCGAGCAGACGACACCGTTCCGGTCGTTCACACCATGGCGGCTCCTCGCATCCCTCCTCGAACGATTTTCCCATCTTCACCTACACGGGTGACACCGAAGTCGTGATCCGCGCCGGATCACAGGAAAAGCGTTATCTCCTCCACCGGCTGATTTTGTCACAATGTTCGGGCTTCTTTGAGGCGAGCACAAATGAGAATTGGTCGCGACAGATGGCTGTGGGTCCGTCTAAGCCGGAGGGGACGCTGTCGCGACTGAGCGAGGACGATGATTTATCTAGCGGGTCAACATTGGCACCCTCTGATAACGGTGGACTCTCGACGCGACCAGGAGAAAAGAGACGCTGGCGATATGAACTTGACTGGGAGAATCGCGCGGAGGATGAAGAGGTGATCCTTGTCCAAAAGGTAAGCCTTGCGCCGGCGCGTCGCATAATCCCATCATTGCGAACAATGCTAATGTCGCGTGTTGAAACAGCAACCAACCTATGCCCCCATGTTCGGCGGCGATGGCGACCATGCTGCATTTCCCCCGACGATGACTAAACCATCCAACGCCCAAGCAGGCTTCTTTCGATCTATGGCAAACCTAGCAGGAATGCAGTCGGTAGCCCACCTACCGCAGACAGGGGAGCACACTGTCGCCGTGGACCCCTTGATACGTGACTATGACAACTTACTACGAATATTTTACAATCATGCCCCCAACATTAACAGCGTCAACATCGCTTCGGCATATACAGAGTGCAAATCACTTCTCGCATTAGCGGATATGTATGACGCGCTTCCGGTGACAGGCCCCCGCGTGGACCACCACCTACTCGGCTTTGGATCTCGTCTATTCAAACAGATCGCCAAGTACCCACCCAGCTACCTGAAGTTGGGGTATCTCGCTCGCAGCCGGGTGATCTTCTCCGAAGCCCTGATCCACGTCGTCGGCCAGTGGCCCGCTGCCCTACCAAGCCTGCGAAACGGCTCCTACGCGCCGCTACCAGACTCACTCCTAGATTTGATCGAAGACAAAGTAGAAGATCTCGACGAGCTCAAAGCTCGCGTGGAATCAAAGCTCCTGCGCTTATCCCTAACTACCTCTCGCGGCGAACGTGTCGGCCCCTCGAACGCTTACCTGGACTGGCTCGCCGTATGTCTATTCCGTCAATGGCTGATAGAAAGCACCACGCCGCCACCAGCTCCGATCCTGAAGAACTCAGGCCCAAGCGATGGCCCCACTCAACCTACCGCATCAGCGTCACACCCGGCAACCACGTCGCGACCAACCACCTCACCAGACCCGTCTGCGCGCATCTATAGATTGATCGGCTCGCCTTCCGCGCAGGCATATCTGCCCCATGAAGAGCTGAAGCGCTTCCTCAAACTCCATCCTACATCCTCCGCTGGCTCGCTTTACACCCGCGAGACGCTGAAACGTTTCGAGCGCAAGATGGACGAGATGAAACGGTTAGCACGGGATATCGTCAAGCCGCTTATGCGTAATTTCCTCGAGTTAGAGCTGAAAAGTCCGGATCAGACAACTACCAGCACTGCTGGTCCTCGGGAGAATATTCCGGTGGGATTGCCATATCTGACATGCACCCGTGTTGAAGATATAGACATACCTTGGAACTGAATCCGACAACTTCTTGGGATTTATCTATTTGGCTCACATATTGTCCGCTCTAATTTTCAAGTTATGGGATATCTCTGCTTAGGAGTTTTCGACGGCGTTTGGTTATTTCCTTTTTCTATCTGCGCTTTTTCTTCTCAGGCTGCTGGTCTTGTCTGATGAAAGAGACCAGATTGTACTCCCGTCTCTGCTATTCGCAATGATGTGATGTTTACCTGATTTATGTTATTTTCCTTGTTTCTGGTTCATGTGTTCACGATGTCATGAATGGCTCTGCCTTTGATTTGCTCTGTTTTGTCTTGAATTTAATATTCTGCTCCACCCTGCCCTCGGTAAGGCAGAGTCGGGGGTCTCAATGCCTCATTTTTGTCTGTTTTAGAGATACCAAAAAGATCACTCGCAATGCAATGCAATATTCATGAAGACAAACACCTCTCCGAATATCACAGGTGGTTCAGATGAAGTAGACTTGCAATGTATGAAGTATATGTCCACTACTTACCTTGAAAAATACATAATATACATGTCTCCACAAGGAGAGCGAGAACAATCCCCACCCCTCCTATCTAGCTCCGACCAATACTTTCCATCCCATCCATCCAAGGCCGCAAAACCTCAGGGATAACGACAACACCCCGTTCAGCATCCCACCCATTCTCCAAGATAGCAGCCAGCACACGCGGAACAGCCATAGCAGTCCCATTAACAGTATGCGGGAACCTTGACTCCTTAGCCCCTCCACCACGCACTCTCGCCGCCAACCGCCGACTCTGGTAATCCGTACAGATAGAAGCAGAAGTAACCTCACCCCAAGCCGACTCCAGATGATGGATCTTGGGATCAACCGGCGTAGTGATACCCGACGCAGCGCGCAGACGAGACGGGAACAGCGCCTCGATATCTCGCTTGCGCGTCGCGCTAGCCCCCAGATCCCCACTCGGCATCTCCAGCACACGACACGGCAGATGCAGCGCTGTCAGGATCTCGGTCTGCATCTCCAGCAGCTCGTTGAACATATCTTCCGAGCTCGGCACGGCCCCATCCACGCTATCCGTCCAGCCGAACAGCTCGACCTTGGTGAACTCGTGCACGCGGTACAAGCCCTTCGTATCGACGCCGCGGGAACCCGCCTCAGCGCGGTAGCAGCGGCTCGCGCCGACGAGCTTAATCGGCAGCTCGGAGGCGTTGATGTCGCGCCCGGCGTACATGGCTGCCAGAGGGATCTCGGCGGTACCCGTTAGCGAGCGTTGGGGTTTAGTGTTCTTATCGCGCTCGTTCTGTTCGATGGACCAGATCTGCTGCTCGTTGTGCTGGTCGCGGGGCTGGAAGCCGCATGCTTCGGCGATATAGGAGTAGACGATTGAGGGTGGTGCGACGGTTTTCCAGCCTCGGCGGCGGGCTGTGCTCAGAGCGTACTGGACGAGTGCTTGTTCAAGCATTGCGCCTTCGTTTATCAGGAAGTACCAGCCCCATCCTGTTGTTGTGGCTGAGCTGGCGAAGTCGAGGAGTTTAAGCTCTGTGCCGATTGTGACGTGTGACCGGGCTTGGAGCTCGGTTTGCGATTGTCGGGTCCAGGAAGGAGGTTCTTCGGGGTTGAAGTTGATGTATTGTACGAGAGCTGGATCGTGTCCGATGGGCGTGAATGGAGAGGAAAGGTTTGGGAGGGAGAGGGCTAGTCGGTTGATCTCTTCGGTGCAGGTTGCTTTGCGTTCTGTCATGGACTGTGAGTCATCCTTCAGGCGCTGAGCTTCTGACTTGAGTTCGGCCAGTTCCTCGCTTGGACTCGGGCCCTTGTCATTCGTGTTTCCATCTGCTTCTTGTCGAGTCGCAATGTGTAATTTGGCGATAGTCTTTTCTAGTTGCTTGATGCGGGATCGAGGGGCTTTCAGGTCGTGATCGAGCTGTTTAGCCTCCTCTGATAATTGTTGGATTTTTGACGGATACCCGGCGTGACCTGCATAGTTGCGATCTACGCAGTTCTGTGCATAGAGGTCGGCATTTTGGCGGATGTGTTTGATGTCCGGCGTGGGCTTCGGAGCTGTCGCGGGTCGCAAGATGTCTCGATTGCGTCGAGCGGAGGAGAAATTGCGCAAAGATGCTTTCAATCCATAGGAATGCCTGCAATTGAAGCAGACATATGAAGTGAGTGCCATTGGGGTTGGAGAGGAAGAAGAGAAGAGAACAGGCCATAAGTGGATGGTGGATCTCCCGACCTAACCCTTTTGGGAGATCTGCATCTCGTATGGCCATCGACCCAACTCTCTACACAAGTCTCTACACAAGTCTCGTCAATGAGATTTACTAAATTCAAACATACTTTGATATATGTTGACAACCCAGTCTTACGGATTATCACAAAGAAGAATCACCGTGGTGACATGTACCTTGAGTCTTTCTCTTGTCTCTACCTCAGCTCACAGTCGCCTGCCTGGTTGTATATCGAATCTAGTTCTAAGGTTCCCAACTCTGGGTTTGAGCATGTTGGCATCGGACAATCGTAGATTTGCTGTTTCTTTCTCGTCCTTGAAATGCCGGGTCATGGAAGAAAAAGTGGTGTTGTCTCTGTAACATTTGTCCATGCGTATTCAACGGGATTCCGCTGACTATATTTGTTGTCAACCGGTTTTGATGAAGCCCATATTGGGAAATTTCATTGTACTCAGCTTGATAGATCTGCAACATAAGGTGGCAGTCTTAGCCAGCTACCCGGGAAGCAAGCCCCAGTTGTAAAGAATACAGGTTCATCCTTCTTTCAGCCCCAACCTTCAAATGAAGTTATAACAATGCAAATTCAACATCAAGACTTCTCATCACTCAACTCAGGATAAAATAGTAAAACATGCTGCCAGATAATCCTCGCTACCTCCCCCGGCTCCAGATGAGTCACATCGATTTTTAGAAACTCCTTTCTATCGCTGAACTCGAAAACCGGTAATCCCTTGTGAAATGTCTTTAGTAGCTCGACATCCATAAGCTTTGCATGTTTTTCACGATCCGACTGCATCATACGCTTAATATTCTCATCTTCATCGCAGGTCAACACAATTGGAATCAGTATACAGCCGCGATCCTTCGAGGCCTGCGCGTATTCTGCGCACACGCTGGCACCTTGTTCATTTGCTGTTTGGAAGTCGGTAAATAGGTAGGTCGTACTAAAGGTTGCAGGCTCAGTTGCTAGGGATGTAAAGATCGCGGCGCGGAGAGCATGTCGAAGAGATTGATACCCTGGTTGGGTACGGTGGAGGACAGCATCAGCGGGATTGATGAGAAGGTGGTTGTGGACTAGCTTTATATTTGCTGACTGGCTGACATGCGCGACAAGATATTGGGCAATTGTCAATTTTCCAGCGCCGGGGAAGGCATTGATGTGGATCAGGGGATGGGGTGTTGTTCCTAGCATTGTGACAGGGGTGATGTTGCTCAGTCTATCACAAACTTGAGAGAGATAAGATGGGGTGATTGACAGCACCTGGGCAGAGACCGGCGCTTAGAACCAACTACCTAGGTAACTAGTTCACTTATTAATTGACTAGTCAGTTCGTTGATTAGTTACCTTGAGCTACTGGCCTAGAGCCTCAGGCCCTCATCTTAATTGATGTAACTTCATCTTTCAGCTTCGTTTGTTGACAGAGGAAATTGTCTTGTGCAATGTCTCAGGTCCAAACCAATCGCGTTACCATACGGCATCCATTAAATCAAAGTACAGCGTACGCCACCAAGTGTCAATTTCCCCGTGCCGAGGTATGTGGGTAAGTATATGAATTTGATCACTTCGGTCCTTTAACATCATTTCCCAGAAACAAATTAGCTCCAGCATCCGGATAAATAATCGCACCAGTACTCCGTAGTTCCCTTATCGTTCAAGAACTAAGGCAAAAGTACTGTGCATATTAGATTATCATATAGCTTTAGTGAACCAAGTCCTTTAATTCCCGAAGTCGGCGATCTACCCGGCCAGTCGTATCTCCACTGTGGCCCCAAGGCTTTTTAGTCTAATTATCGTATGGAGCACGGAGTACACCGTCTTTTATATGGGACTTGCTGGAGTTTTTTTTGACTTTGACTACATTTACCAATGGGAAACTTGATGTGAAGAACTCAATCTCCATGTGCTTTAAGTGTGTAGCTTTCACCTAACTTTTCTCAAAGCCAAGAAAACAGCTTAATTTTGTGTCTACAACATACGACACGGGCTATTAATACGTTTTGACGATTCAAGTGCCGTATGTCTTTTGTATACCACATAAAAGGTAGCCGGATATGGACTGGACTAGGCCTTTGCATTAGACCTCCGCTTAGGGCTACGGGCACATGTGTCGCTCGCATTGGATTGGGTAAATACTCCGCAGCTATGATCTATGCAACTAGCACTTAGAACAGAATAAAAACAAAAGCACCGTGTCCTGGGGGCCAAAGGGAAAAATTCCTGATGGATAGAATTTTGATAGGACGAAAAGAGCCCCTAGTGATCTGTATGGGGTAAGTCAGTGGGGTTCGAACGAGTGAGACACATATTGATGGTCACCCGTTGTGTCAAAGCATCAAGGTTTTGACACATTCTTGTCCTCCCCTCGCCAGGCCATTCGACATCGTATTACTTCTAGATGAGTGTTGAGCCCGGGGCCCGATTAGCGCCTACCGCAAGATGTCCATACAGTGTGGTGTGGTCATATGTGGCTTCATGAAGGATATAGTCTGGGTTCTGGAAGCGATGCATGATGACGCCTGTGCTTGGCTCTGAATATTAGGATCCACAGTAAGCAAAGGTCAAGTCTACTAGTAGGTAGTAACAGAAGCCACCAACGACCAGGTTGGTAAAATGCAGCGCCCATTAGATGAACTGTTGGTTGGTCGAGCCAATCATGCTTTCTCTCATTATGTTTTGCCACATGTGAGTAGTATGACCAATTTGGAGTCAGAGGAACGGGATTCACCAGGGAAAAGACTTTGTCTATTGCTGAGATGTCGTTATATATTGAAAACCAAGAAGCCACCATGGTATTCACTAACATTGCTGGCATTGCCAGTAGGGGGTATATCGTAGCAGATAGACATGATTTATATCGCCAATTACGATTTACAGGGAATATACTTGATGGCAGATTGAAGAATGTGGAGTGATGGGCTTTGCATAATCAGTTCCCCTGATTCAAATGTTGCAAATGAATAGATCGGGGCTGAGAGAAACATGATAAAGCTAAAAGCGAAGCTAGTGTCCCTAAGCAGTAATCCTCACGGAAATTTCCGCTCGTTCAAAGAAATTTACTCTAAGGATAAAGGTGCATTCCGACGGGGGCCCGGTCCCATGATGTCTTCAGGACAGAATCGTGCTATGGGGCCATAAATACTATAGATATCCAATATATTCCTACAGGATACCCCCGCGATTTCATATGCATCATGTCCCCTGATTTTGACCCTCTGCACCATTTCGAGATCTCTCAGGACCAGTACAACCCCGACAACTCATGGCCCGACGATTCGTGGCCAGATGAACTGGCCAGCTTCAACGATATCAATCCTGCCGGTCCATCATCACATCTGGACCTTGATTTCGGTCTCCTCTGGGCCCAATCGGACGAAAATGGTCTCTATTCCGTACCTGACTCTTCTGAACCCCCTCTATCTCCACCGCCATCTTTGGTTCCTCCACCATATGCCAATTTACAACCTAGACAACCTCCAGATATTTATGAAATAGGCTACCAAGATGCCAATGGTGATTGGCGGTGCAGCTACGTCGGATGTCTCTCTAATCAGGCATTTCTGCGGGCCTGCGACTTGCGAAAACATTACCGTTCTCACCAGAAAACTTACTTCTGCACGAAACAGGACTGTGAATGGTCGAGGATCGGGTTCTCATCAAGTAAGGATTGTCAACGACATATGCGGTCCCATCAGCCGATGATCAAGTGTTCTGCGGCGGAGACACTGGGTTGTGAGCGGGTGTTCAGTCGAATTGGTACGTTATTTCTTGTACCTGAGTTGATCCTATATGCCTTATTTCGTATTCCGTGTGTGCTAATTTCTTGAAGACAATATGGTATGTTGCCCTAATCGCATGTCTTCTGAAAATCAAATCCTTGACTGGCATACTGATGGGATTAACGGATCTAAAGAGAGAACATAGTCGCAAAATTCATGGGTCTTCGCAGAACAATCAGTCTCCTCGTCTTTGCAAGCGCAGTGATGGAAAGAAAGACGAGGTCTCTCAGCCATCCGAGCTTGATGCTGTATGACTTTCATGAGATAGCGGTGTACCTGTATCATTTATGATGACGTGCGAAGGGAGAGTGAATAGAATGATTGATGAATAATTTGAGGGATGTCACCAGTGAAATCTTCGCTTTAGGGTGGCGTGAAATGTGAATTTAGACAGTCTGACCGCAAGGGATTATTTGAAAGCAGATTAGATTCGATCAGCAACTCTCTATAAATGGATAACGTTTACAATTAAATATATAAGTACACTCGCTTATAGGCATTAAGCATAGGTTGTTTCCAAGAGCTTGGCATGCAGGAACTAAAGAGGCCCGAGGGAAGCGTGCAAGCCTACCCACTTCACATAGTAGACTTGATCTCAATTTGGATGATTTAGCTAGAGCATAGACCAAATGCTTTATAGACGACGTTGAAGTCTTGACTCCCGGGGCACATGGTGAGTTAGTCACCCCATCCCGAGCAGCTCACTGAGTAATATTGATCGCTTTCCCACGCTGGCCTCCGTTTATATTTGAGGCTTCATAAATTCGATACCTGGTCTGTCATGTTCTCACGTCCTCTCTCAATCTCCACCTCACAGGCCCAATTTATGCTTCTTAATCCTAGCACCCACCCCAGCGAGAATCAAAACGACAGCAACAAGTACACCCCATAGAGGAATATGGATCGCCTTCAAGTTGTAGTCGGTCTGCGTCGCCGCCACGACAGTCGCCATCTCCAGCAGTAGCAAAACATAGCCGCTCCAGCGATGATACTTGTAAATACGTTTTCCAGCGTCCACACTACCGAGGACGGTGACGGGTAAAAAGTACTGGATCACACCGACCACGGCTTGTAGCACGATAGCAATGTAAGTAACCAGGCCTAGAATACCATGAGGAGAAACAAAGTGCGGATGAGAGCCTTTGTTAATCTCGATAATCACAAAGGCTGATACAAAAAGGACCACACTAAGTAGTTGGAAGGAGTAGTGGATGCGAGTACCGGTCCGCTTCTGTTGCGGGGTGGCGGTTGGTTGCAAGACCAGAGCTGCTTGAACTTGAAGAAGCAGAGCAGATATACCGAGTAGCTAAAAGGTCATTAGTAAGTTTGTTGAGATATTGGGGATTTTGTTCCAAGTGATTTATCTATATCGCTTACCGGATGTGGGGTGAATAACGAGAGGGGCTGGGTCAAGATGCCCTGCCAGACCAGCGCAGCCAGCTATATTTGTTTGGATTAGTTTCTCTGATCTTCTCAGTAGTTTCTTAGTGTCCTTACAATCCAAATGCCTGCTTGAGCAATACTTGCTGTTCCTGAGTTTTGGAGTCAGTCATGGGTTTTAGGCAGAGGCTTTCACGCTCACCCGTCAAGAGATTCCGATAAATGCCCTCATCAGGCCTTTGTGTCACATCGCCTGGACGGCCCAATAAAGGCTCATCGGCTTGCGATAGAATTGTATCGGGGTGATCTTGCGGGATTCCTGTTGCCGACGCCATGATGAGAGGAGTGGTTACAGCATAGGGAAAAGGTCAGACAAAAGACAAAGAAAATGATTCGAGGCGGTGGGCAATAATCCTTGCTTTCCCCTCCGATTATCCTGCATGAATTGCTCTGTTGCTGTGCTTGCTGATCGAATTATTTGACGTGATCGTCGCTTTCAATGACGATTGGACAACATCCGCATATTCCCGGAAGCTGAGATACCACTGAACGGGACTGTATTTCAAAGCTTGACGCGAAAAATCAACAGCAGTTATCATACCTGGATTTGAGATTTGCTACTTTTTTATGCTGTCACTCCAAATTAATACTGAGTCTCACGAGTACGTGGCCATCTGACTGTACTGATGCTGCACACAATGACCAGGAACGATTTAAATTTCAATCAACTCCATTGATCTATATATCTAACCGTTGAATCTTGAAAACACCGCAAATGACAATCAGGGTCTCGGTTCAGGCGATGGGGCACCACTGCGGTCAGCTCGATCTGGCCGAATCTTGTACTGAGTCTCCCGAGGGATACTAAAGTCCACAAAGAGCAACATGCTCTCGATATCTCTGGCAACTCTGCCAGCATTGCTATGGTCCCGATCGAGAGTATCAATAAAATATTCCAACCGTTCATGGATCTTGTTACACCTGGCTGTCCAACTACTGTTGTCAAAGTGAAAATGAGCCTGTCCGGCCATTCGCAGGCTCGCAACCCGCCGAAGAAGAACATCCAGAGAATTGATCACCATCTTCACATTACCCTCAAAGTCCTTGTCTTTGAGAATGTGGATCTGAGCATGCAGCGTGGTCATGAAATGGGAGCGCTCCTCTTCGTACGTACCGTGGGCGGCGCGTCCAGTCATGGTTTTGATGGAAACTAGATGATACCGAGTAGACTGGATTGTCAGGCTTATCTTGGCCTCTTGCTCTTATGAGTCAGATACTTGTTTTTGAGCCGAGTACTTGGAGACAGGCTATCTCGTGGTGCAACCTGTCCCTTTTATGTCTTTGCAAAAGTCTTGTCGAGTACCTAGTCAAAGAGAAGCAAAGCAACAATGGCTATGATCGGTTTCTTGATATTCTAAACATAGCACAATTAGTTCGTTCATATTCGAGGTGAAGAAGTATTGAACAAAGCAGCTCTATTACAAAGACGCACCATCTTCTTTGTGGATACACAGATCCAGCCTATATTCAACCCTCTTTCATGATCTTCACTATTCACCATGGCATTGTCAGCACCGGCCCTTCTTCTCCAGAACCAACCCGGCCAAAGACCACCTCCGCTCCCAAATTTCCCGGCTCCAAATTCATAACAATGTTAAACAAAGTACTACTTCTATTCGAGATATGACGCGATGGATCTTCCTGACAGCATATTGACTGAGGCTGGTTATATGTATCAGAGAAGACCTGTTCTCGCAGCAGAGTAGGGGTGATAGCATCGCCCTGAAGACCGCTCTCAATCAACCCCTGCGTCAATTCCCCCAGCCGCTCGAGTCGGATAGGTGACCCGGACAGCCACGGCGGCTCATTCACATAACGATTCTCAATGAAGTGATTGGTATGACCAATAATCCCTGACGCATCCTCGGGAATATGTTTGTCTCCCACCGGCGATAACTCAAGCCCCAGAGCCTTGGCACTGTCGGCACAAAGGATATGCTGAGCAGAGGCGACACCACCCAGAGACTCGAGGGTGCTCACAGCGTCATCGACAGAAGTACTCTCCAAGCACAGTCGAAGCGCAACATGAATCGGGATCTTGCTACTGATCATCGGTTTAGCGCGGATTGCATTGAGACAAGTTCCGACGCCGTTGGTATTGAACCCAATCTTGCCGACAATTCCTGCCTGTGCATGGTCAATTACTGGCTAGAATACATTTAGAGACACACACGAGTGTATGTACTGACCTCGGTAACCATATAGATAGTTGGCTTTCCAACCTGCTCAATTGATACCATTGCTAGGTTCTTCTTGACAGTCGCCGTCCAGTCCCAGTTCTGCGAGAGTACTCGCGTCGTTTCGCTTTTCTTCCAGGATAATGAGGTGCAGCCATCGGAGAATCTACCCAGCGCTATCTCGCTCCGGCAGTTGAGCGCGATTATATCAAGAACATCTAGCCCGGCGCCCTCGGCGATACCTTCCATCTCCGTGAACAAATGAGGCGTTAGGGTCTGCAGTGTGGGCTGGAATTCGGTTGCGACTTCGCGCACGTCTTTCCAGGCTAGTTTTGAGGTGTATTGGAACATGGTGTCGTAGATAGATATCTGGCTGTGAATTTGCTCTCGCAATGCGCGACCATGCTGTAGTCCGATCTACATTTAATTCCCAGTCAGTTGAAGTTGATCACATACGCAGCCAACATTGGACAATGTACCTCTCGAGGAGTGCCCTGGAGCTTAAGCTTGATTGGATCATTTTCAGGCTGCATGTTGAATCTGTACAATATCAGCTATACAGATATATAATCAAGTCAAGGGTATCGCCAGCTATTTAAGCGAATATCAACAGCCGAGCCGATCTCGGTTCCCCTCAGTTGGAGTCATTCGGGGTTCACCCGACAAGGATCGCAATGACCTGCCCTAACTGGCTAGGATTGGAGATTTTGCCAAAATCGGAGTTTTGTGCTATGATGTTATAAAGGATAGTGGTGGCACAATGGCCTCCAGTGCACCCCGATGTATGGCTTGTCTTACAACTTCTACAGCCTAGGTGTTGCTACTTTATAGTGTACAAGAATATACATAGCAGACATTTCATTCATATTGAATGTTGATCTTAATAGGTAGTCTATGCGTTCTTAATCAAATGCTTGAACAACTTGTCCAGGTAATAGGCAGACTGCTTGGGATAGCGAGTCTTTTCTTCAGAGTCAAAGTCGATAAACGTGCAACCGAAGCGATCCGCATATCCAGCGGCCCATTCTATAAGGTATTAGTTATTGGTCAATTCTCCATACGAAATCATTTACTTACCCCAGTTATCAGTGAATGTCCAAGCAAAGTAGGACCTGATATCAACTCCGTCTTCCTTCACAGCGCGCGCCAACGCATTGCCGACATAGCCCTCGAAGAACCTGATGCGGAACTCGTCATTCAGAACTTCAGGCGTGGGGGCCGTTTCACCCTTCGCGGTGGTACCGTTCTCAGTGATGTAAATTGGCATCTGGTATCGTTTATAGATCCAGTTCAACAACTTCCGGAATCCCACAGGCGCAGTACGCAGCCACGGGGTATCACTCTCCTCTCCACGAGACACACCTTGCTTATTATTATCAAAGACCTCCACATTGCCCTTGTGATCATTGATATCAGGCTCAGCGGTTCTATGTTTCACAAAGAAGGTCGTGTAGCTATTCATGCCATAGAAATCAGAACTCCCAAACACGAGCTTCGATTCCTCCTCGGTAAACTTCGGCAATCTATCACCGAGCTGCGCCCGCATTGAGGCAGGATAATCGCCCGTCTTGTACAGCGGGTCCGCGAACCAAGCGATCTCAAACTCGCGCGCACGCTCCGCAGCCTCCTGGTCGCGTGGGTCCTCCTCATCCCACGCCTCAGACCAGTTACCATGCAGTGTGATACCGATCGTTCCCTTTTGCTGGGGCTGGAACTCCTCACGGTACAAGCGCACGGCATGACCGTGCGAGACAAGCTCAGTGTGCGCGACAGTGAACGGCTCGGTGGAGGAATCGCCCTCCTCGTTTCGCTCACGGAACGACGATCTGGCGGGCGCGTGCACGCCCGCTGCATATCCGGCGAGGGTGTAGACACCCGGCTCATTGTAAGTGATCCAGTGCTTGACGCGGTCGCCGAAGCGCTCGAAGCAGACGCGGGCATAGCGCACAAAGTCCGGCGTGTAGGCGTCCTGGTTCAACATTCCCATGTATCGATCTTCCAGGGCCTGGGGGATATCCCAGTGGAAGAGAGTGACGAAGGGGGTGATATCATTGCGGAGGAGTTCATCGATAAGGTCGGAGTAGAATTTGATGCCTTGCTCGTTGACGGGGTCGTTGGCGCCGCCGAGGGGGATGATACGAGACCAGGAGAGGGAGAAACGGTAGGCGTTCACACCGTAAGACTTCATGAGCGCCACATCCTCGCGGTAGAAGTCGTACGCTCGGACGGCGTCGTCGGCATTGCTTCCATCGGCGACTTTGCCCGGGGTGTGGCCGAATGTGTCCCAAATGGAGACACCCTTGCCATCCTTGTTCCAGGCACCTTCTATCTGGGCTGCTGCTGTAGCGTAGCCATGGAAGAAGTCTGGCCGAAGCACATCCTTGAGATCTTGCACTGAATTCAAATCCATCTTGTCTGTTTTGTGAAATTGTGACAAGGGGGTTGACAATTTATTTTTCTTGAGCTTGGAGCTCTCATAGAATATGCCCCGCAAAACATCTCCGGATAAAAGTGTCTGTTGAATTTACCCTGAGATTGGGAATATGCGGTGTTTACTCCGTGCTGGTTTAGGGATTTCATCGGGTTATACGTGGACATAGTGGGGGGAGGGTGTCAACGCGTAGAAAGGACAAAAGTACCTTAAAGATATTGAAAGCTATTACAAGGATAGACGTCTTTCTTCAATAAAATCTATCATTGAGTCTATTCTAGTTGATCCTATGTTCACCACCGCCGGTGATTGTTACCTGTGAGTCATTAAAGTAAACAACCGCCGTCTCACCCTCCGACTTGATAGTCAGTCCGTCTACAACACCATGTTTCAAATTGAATTCCAACTCAAACCCACCACGGGCCCGCACTCCCCGGATAGATCCAGTCCAGGCCTTTGGACACGCTGGAAGGATACGAATTACCCCAGGCTCATGGGACTGGACTAGCATTTCGATGATACCCGCCCCACCGCCAAAGTTGCCATCAATCTGGAATGGAGGATGGCTGTCCAATAGATTGGACAAAGTAGACCGAGACAAAAGCAAGTCTAAGTGCTGGCTACACTCCTCGGCCTCGAGTAACCGTGCGTGCAGATTGATCAGCCATGCGCGACTCCAGCCAGTGTGGCCACCACCGTGTTCTGCGCGTCGACGTAGAACTACTCCACACGCTTCTGCTAGATGGGGGTTTCGCGCTGGGGTGATTGCATTCCCGGGATGTAAGGCCCATAGATGGGACGTGTGACGGTGTCCTGGCTCCACTTCGCCGTAGTCGGTAGCCCATTCCTGTAGATACCCAGCAGGGGAGATTTGCATTGGTGGGAGACGGGACTTTGTAGCTTGAACTGCGGGAAGAAGGGCATCATCAAGACCAAGTCTCTTTGCACAGGATTGGAAGGCGTCCAGGATAGCATCAATAATTTGAATATCGATCGTTGCTCCTTCACACAATACACCCTTTTGTCCCTTGTGATCGTAGAACGAGTTTTCGGGAGAAGCAGACGGACTGGTGGTGAGATATTCACCTTTGGCATCTTCGATCAGGAAGTCGAGGAGGAACTCCACGCACCCGCGCAGTGTGGGGAACATTCGACGAAGGAACGCTTCATCGCATGTATATTGGAAATGATCCCAAATGTGGTAGCAAAGCCATGCACCACCCAGAGGCCAGATACTAGCCGGCATCCATCGATCGACGGGGGCTGTATCAGCCCAAATATCAGTGTTGGAATGGGCCGTCCATCCTCGACAACCGTACATGATCCGAGCGGTGGCTTTGCCGGGTTCAACCATGCGTTCCAGTAGATCAAACAGAGGAAGTTCACATTCTGACAGGTTACACGCATTTGCAGACCAGTAGTTCATTTGAAGATTGACATTGGTGGTAAACCTGCAACCCCATGCCGGATGGAAGGATGGGTTCCAGATACCCTGGAGGTTTGCAGGAAGCGACTTGTGTCCATCTCGACTACATGATATGAGGAGATACCGATTGTAATTGTGATAGAGTGCAATAAGCCCTGGATCTCGAGAACTCTTTAGACGTTCACCGGTTGGAATTTCAGGAGAGTCCGGCCCAAGTTTCAATTCCATTCGGTCGTACAAAGACTTGTAGTCCGCAACATGACGGGCGCGGAGATCCTCCAATGAGAGACTCAAGGCATTTTCTGCATCTTGCTTGGTTTGCTGATCAATGTCTTCATGTCGGAAGGTAGTTTGCGCCGCGATGATCAGCAGGGTATCACTGGAGTTCACCACCAGATTATTTCCAATCTTGGTAATTGTACTGCCAGCGCTGTCGCAACGAACTGATACACTGCAGCATGCTCGATTACTATTCTTGCCGCCGGGGGTGACATGCATAGTAATGGAGTTGCTGGTAGTACTGAGATCATCCAGCCATTCATTGGATTCATATTCCAAGTCACTCATGCGCGTCAGACGAATGACAAACTCAGCCTTGCTCGATGAACGCAACCTGATCGCGAGGACATTGTCCGGGTAACTGGCCAGGACTTCACGCTCGAAATGAACATCCTGGTACTCGTAACTGACATGTGCAGTAGCACTCGCGATGTCCAACGAGCGTCGATAGGCTCTAACCTGACTGGGATCATGTCCCAAATCCAAGAATAGGTTTCCGAGCGGCTCATAGTTCCGCTGGCTGATCGGGTTAGCGAAAAACGCCAGCTTGGCGATCTTCTCAGCTTCCGCATGGTTTTCCGCGCGTATAGCCTCTCTCAGACGCGGCAGATACTCGAGCGCGTCTTGTGGATTACGATCTTGTGGTCCTCCATACCACACTGAATCTTCATTCAGCTGTAACATCTCAGTGTCGGTGCGTCCATATACCATGGCGCCTAAGCGCCCATTCCCGACTGGCAAAGCTGAATTCCAGTCCTCCGCAGGCTGTTGGTACCATAACTCAGACATGTTCAGTCGTGATCAATAGGTTTGGTCTGCTGGTATGTATTGGCTTGATGTAGAACAAGGCGGCAGTTCGGTCCGTCAGCCGCCGATCTCGAACAGTACAGGCTAAAGACATTGAGTCAGATAGGTTCAAGAAGCTAGGACCAAGTAAGACAAACCAGAATTCCATCCGATTTGTGGAAATTGAAGGATTCCGGGTAAGTCTCCTTACAAGTGCCAGCTCTAACTCTTTCCCCGGTTGTTCCCCGGATTCCAGGCTAAATGTCCTCACGCCTAGCTTATCATTCGCTCTGAGAGCTGGGGTTGACGCGGCCACATCATACTAGCGTTGGGGAAAGCTCGAAGCGACTCTCTCTAGCTTGACGCTAATACGCCTCGTGCTCGTATCTCACTGGTTGGAAACGCTGAGGGTAGATGTCGGGAAAAAGCAATTCAAGAATTGGCAACGCAAAATGTTCAACGTGACCATCACTCACCAATCACTGTCCATAGTTGCAGATATATCACGCCACGAGTCAAAATGTCGCAAAGCTCATCACTTCTCCGTGGCAAAATAGGTCCCATCTGGATGCCGACCGCTAGTTTTGTCGCCCCCTAGCTTCCTGAGGCCCGATTCAAGGAAGCAGAAATACCCCGGCATATCCCGCTCTTGGCTAGAATCTGCCTGCAGCTCAAGGGTTCTCAAACCCATACTTCTGGGGTCATATCTTTATTCTATACCAAGTGCATCCAATCGACTTCGCCGACAATGTCCAAGTCGGATACCTCCTATGTGGAGGCCGAGATGGGCAAGAGCGGAGACCAAGAACATGTCGAGGAGATTGCCCTGGCGCGGGTGACAGAGGAGGACCTATGGAAGCTGTCTCAGGATTCTCTGACCCTCAAGTCGTGGACCGGCTTCCGTCTGTTCCTCATCATGTTTGTCCATGGCTGTAACCAAGCTGGATTTGGAATCGACTGGGGTGTCATCAGTGGTATTAATGCTATGCAAAGATGGCACGACTACTTTGGTTTCGAGAACAGTGGTGGCACATATGGGTTGATTAACGCCCTGATGCAGATCGGTACTGTCTGCGGAGCACCTTTCATGGGTTTGGCGGACGTGTTTGGTCGTCGTGCAATCAATTTTGCCGGCAACGCCATTGTCATCGTCGGAGCTCTCCTGCAAGGCCTCGCTGTAAACCTGCCGATGTTCATGGCCGGTCGATTCTTCTTGGGTTTTGGCTCTGCGCTCATGTCAAGCTCTCAGTATATTGGTGAGATCTCGCCTCTCCATCTGCGTGGTCTCATGGTCGGCTTCTTTGGCGCATGCTTCCAAGTTGGTAGTCTTGCTATGCTTGGTGCCATGATCGGACTCACCGAGTTGCCTGGCAATAACGCATGGCGTATTCCTCTCATTCTGGAATGTTTATTCCCCGCTATTGTCTGTACAGGCATCTACCTTCTGACCCCGGAGTCACCTCGTTATTATGTCTTGAAGGGCAATCGCCAAAAGGCCAAGGAAGTCGTCGCCAAGTACCACACTACTAGCACCGACATCAATGAGCCCCTAGTCGAAATTGTTGTGAAACAGATTGAAGAATCTCTCGAGGCCGATACGACGGGCTACAGATCCTCCTGGGACTATCGGGTCTTCTTCACCAAGGTAGCCCGTTACCGTTTGCTGGTGTTAATTTTGTACTCGCTCTTCCAGCAATGGAATGGAGGTGGTATTATCACGTACTATGTGAGTAGCTAGACAAAACGGATATCTTCTTCGGTTACTAATGTCTCTTTAGATGGCTCCTTCGCTGCAGCAGCTTGGCGTTACAGATGAGAAGAGCATTCTCGGTGTCAACATTGGCACCACCGCAGTCTATTTCGTCTTTACGGCCGTTGGCGCGATGATAGTCGACAGGTTCCGCAGACGAACCTTGATCTTTATCGGTCTTATCAGCATGATTATCTTCCAAACGGCTACCACAATCACAGCATGGCAGTACACTGTCCATGCTACCCCTGGGAGCGGCGGCGTGCACTATTCTCTGGATTTTCCTCTACCAGACTTTCTCGGCGACATTTGTTGCAACCATGCACAACCTGTATCCGATTGAAATCCTCTCTCTACCACTCCGTGCCAAGGGAATGGGTCTTTACGGTCTTATCCAAGGTGCCGCGGGAGCCGTGCAATCTTATGGAATTGGTGTCGGTATTCAAAAGGTCGGGTATAAGATCTGGGTCGTGTACATTGTGTACAACTCTATCCAACTCCTCCTGTCGTACTTGTTCTTCCCGGAGACGAGTTCCCTGTCTCTAGAGGAGATTAATACCGTGTTTGAGACCCCGGGAGTTCACCCGGTGAAGATGTCGTTGAATATTGAGAAGGCCAAGAAAGAGAGAGCAGCGGCCCGGGACGAGGAGGGGAATGTTGATCAATAAAGATTCAATGGCAGCGAATTTAATCTTATCAGAAGGAGATGATAATATAATTGGATGTATAGTTTCCGTCTTTGTTTCAGCCCCAAGCTCTAGTCGCGCTAGTGAGGGTATTTGGCTTGAGCCTTCATAGCAAAACTTTAGAGTTGGCCATCTCAGTATCAATGCTTGATGAACGCAGCCAAGCTTCAAAATCTATATTACATGTTGATCTGACAAGTCAAATGCACAAGTGGAACAGTTGAAACGCGTCGGACCCGATATAACCCTGCGCCTCCCCGTCGGAGGGCCGCTTGTTCTGTCACACAATTCCCGTCTGTCTTCTTAAACGTATATGAGACACCAGAAACATGAGCTTTGAGATATTTTCCCCTACCAAATTCCTCAGACAATGTCGACTTCGACCCTAAAGTCAGATTTACAGACAATTGGTTGACATCAGATGACCTTGCGAGCCCTAAATTGCCCAGACCTTGCTTCATCCATTTCCCGCTCGGATACCTTACGGAATGCTTTTCTTTTCTCCGAGACTTCATCGCCACCAGTCCAGAACAAAATTACGGCCCATAGGTCCCCTACATTTCGGCCTGCAGCGTTACACAAACAGATCAGGTACCGAGTTAGGACTTGTTGCTCTCTGATCCGTTTTTAAGCCCCTTCTTTCTGAGAGGCTATGATGGTTTGACCCATCAATTACAATCATGTGCTTTGTCCAAGAAAAATAAAACGGTCAACGGGCTTCCTGCAGTCTGTGTCACAGATGACCTAGTAGTGTAGTGCTCTGCAGCCCTAATATGGTTATCCCTGGAAGAATTGGATGGTGACGCAAGCCAAAAAAGTGACAAAAAGAGACTACGTGGCTGAAGTATATATAGTCCAGCTGGTTTGTTTTCTTTTATCTTTTGTATTGAAGACGCATGTATGTCTCTGGTCGTAGAAGAGAGAAAGGCCAATGGTGATAATTGCCAATTCCTTATAGTCCGAACCAGGCACAGCATCGATACGAGTAACAATCGACGAGATTTCTGCTCATCTTCTCTGCATATCTCAAGGCTTTGCAGAAATGAACAATGGTCCACATTGAGATCTTGACAGAAATCATGGAGGAGAGAGAGGGCGGGTAAGGTGAAAATGACGGGCAGGCTACATCAACTCTATTTTCGTGTAATCCGGTTGCTTGCCTGTCTAATTGACCCTCGTGGCAACCGTATAGAAGCGCTAAACTTCTTTTTGATTGTCTCTCAGCTGAAGACATCCGGATCAGATTGTTGGGTGCAAACAGCCAATCTGTCCTATTAGCCCGTCGGGATATAAAAAGCAATATGTACATGGTAAATGTACAACACAACACACATATGTCTTCCAATCTACAGACCCTGAGACACAGAGATGTGCGCACGGCCATACGGACCGAGACGGGACTGCATCTCCCGATCAATGCTCAACCCTTCCAGCAGAATTCCTAGAGTCATGCACGTCTGGTTGCGCAGTCTGGCAATTCAAACACGGTGTCACCATGGCTTTTCCACTCAAAGTGCCAGGCAAGGCGGCAACTCAGATTGGCTCGGCTTCTCATCACGAGACAGATGGCACTGTCGCCAAAAAGCAAACGGGTCATCGCCGCTCAACACGGGATGTGCAGGGCCCTTCTTCGAGTACCGTTCTCAGAAACACAAATAAGATTCTTTCGGTGTGAAGAAGTTGGGTTTGCTAGGTTTCTTCTTTGTATGTGTATGTGCATGTGTCCTTTGATCTCCTTCTCTTTCTGGGTTGGTTTGACCGTGGCCATGCTCCCCCCTTTTCTGCGCATTGAGGGAGATAATTGAGGGTGATACATTCGGCATGGTCGGGTATTGGAGGGATATTAACGGTGATAATGATCTTGTCGTGATATAATTAATCGAGATTTCTTTAACATTTTCCCTGGCTCTTTTGTCAGTCCTTAATTTGGAAATCGCCCTTCTTCCGTTTCGCCACTATATTTCTATGTTTGCTTCAGGCGCCATTCAGACCAGGACATTGCCCATGAATCACTCGTTTTGTTTTTGGGTTATACATACTTCATTCCCTTGAAGATAATACTGTGCATACTGCCTTCCCTTCTTCCAAAATCACACATTCCATTGCCAGATCACGCCTATAAAAGAGGTTTATTGTCTGCATCGACAACATATCCTCATTCTCTCTCGCGCTCCAGTCCAAGATGCCCCCGAAGAGTACACAAGACAACATGGTGCCCGAGGCAAAAGGAATCAAGTACGACGAATGCGAGATGGCCCTCTTCCGCGCCAAGCTATCATACCATGCCACGATTGACGAACGAATGGCCTCAGAGAACTCAAATTTGACTTCAATCGCGGAAGCCCAGGCTCGAATCCTCAAGGTGTGGGAGATACAGATGCAGGGAACAAAAGATTTGTCTGGCAAGAACGAAGGTCGCTCTGCAAGCGATAAGAGGGCAATGGCACAGTACGAGTGGAGATATATGGCCCTGGAGAATGCTGCAACAAAGACCACTGGGAAGGGGTAGCAATAAAAGTGCTCTTTTATTTTCATATTGCTATTTGCGCCGCATTGAATGATACGAAGGCATTGCTGGCGTTGGTTTAGAAGCTTCATAGCTTAGTTTGATGTGCTCATGCTTGAATACTATCTTGATTGTTCATTCTAATATCTACTCTCGTAATCTGGGATTGATCTCATGGGTCTTCATTCCTAATATGTTTTCCTCAATAGGCTGTTGAAATCTCTCACCGGGGTGTGGGCTATGTGTGAGGGCAATATTATTGATCGCCTGGTCCTATTCTGGAATCTCTGACTCGAGGGAGAATTCGTTGAGCGTCACACAAGCAGGTTGGTCAACATTGCAACAGTAACGGGAGTATTACCGCGTGTGTACTTCTGCAGTGAACTCGGGTGTCCCATTTGGTGAAAGATGTTCGGGATATATGGGAATCAATAGGTTCACAAATGACTGCGTCATTGTATAACCCTGTGTGTAGGCAACGGTAGATACCATGCTTGACTTGGCTCTCATTCATTTTACCAAGTCCTTCTGTCTGCTAACTTAATGTACTGTATGGGATGAATGACATGCCCTGTGATATCAAAAGGCTCAAGCAGCGTAGTTATTGTCGTAGCTGTAGGATAGTTGTACTCAGAGCGCAGTGGAACCAATTGCAGTTTAATTGGTCGAATGAATGAATTCCGATGAACTCCGGACTCTCTGTGTAGGTTGTGCAGGAAAGTTATCACGGCCACAGTAGGCGCAGTAGGCGCAAATCGAACCTTTTCGATTCCGCTGCTTTCTGTGGAGTCTGTGACTCTAATTTCTGATCAATGAGAGACTTCCATTCAGATACCAGCGCTCATCGGAGACCTCCGATATGACCTGCCATATAGTGGGTCAACAGCCCAACTCCGAAATCAACTCCGAAAGGGCTCAATTCGGCATTGGATCTGGCACTTAGCGGCCCAGGACGAAAGCTCCCAGGCGAATATCGGGAAAGATAGGCTCCCATTGGCTCTCAACGAGAAGATGATAGAAGAAGAATGGAGTCGAGTAATGAAAATGCATTTCGAGGGGCAAGTCTCTTATCGATAACCCTCCCCACTACTGCTATTTAAGTATACACTCGCCCTCCATTTCCGACTTCACTCTAACTACCTGCCTTACTAAAACTACACAATTCATACATATTAGTCCAAAATGCAAGTCGCTGCCGCAGATATCGACAAGGTGTTCGCACACACCACCAACCTAGCATCATGCAACCTAAACAGCAAGGTCCTGGGCTGCTCAAACGACTACTTCGCTTCAGTCGATAACCTCCTAACCCCAACTCCCTCCATTTCACGCCCCGGCGTCTTCATTCACACTGGTGCCTGGTACGACGGCTGGGAGACCCGCCGCCACAACCCAGATCCCTACGATTGGGCCGTGATCAAGCTGGGCGTTGCCGCAGCCCACATCCACGGCGTTGAAGTAGACACCGCACACTTCATCGGCAACTACGGCGAGAAGGCAGAGCTACAAGCTACATACGCACCAGAAGGTAGCGGTATCACAGATGCCCAGATCGCAGACCCTAGCTTCGCAGGCTGGAAGACACTGCTGCCCGCTTCGCCATGCGGTCCCTCCCAGCGCCACGGATGGAAATTCCCCGCGGAGATCACCCAAACTCCATACACCCACTTCCGTCTTCTGATGTACCCCGACGGTGGCTTCGCCCGTCTTCGTCTCTACGGTCACGCTATCCCTCCCTCCGCCGCCGCCATCCAGGCTGCCGAAACCCCCGTCGAGGAGCTCTCATCTGCTCTTAACGGTGGTGTGGCTCTTGCCGCTTCCGACGAGCACTACACCCCATCCTCTAATATCCTGCTCCCGGGCCGCGGAAAGGATATGGGTGATGGGTGGGAGACTGCTCGCTCGCGCGCTGCTGGCCACGTCGACTGGGCTATTATCAAGCTGGGTCTCCCTGGCTCGGTCTCCAAGGTTGTTGTTGACACCAAGGACTTCCGTGGAAACTTCCCTCGCGCTGTGCGCGTGCACGGCCTGGTTGCTGGCACTGCTGGTGAGGGTGTGCCCTCGGCTGATGACTCCAACTGGGTTGAGATTGTCAAGGGTGACAAGCGTTGCCAGGCAGACACTGAGCATGTCTTTGGGCCTGAGGATCTCACTGCTGGTGGTGAGGATACTCGGGTGTTCAGCCACGTTAAGCTGACACTTGTCCCCGATGGTGGTGTCAAGCGATTCCGCATTTTTGGTCGCCGCGCTTAGGCTCTTGTCTGATACCATGAGAATTATGTATATAGCTGGTATTCTACACGTAAATAATGCATTATGTTGAAATGTCCATAGTGGAACATCTGTCCGACGATATCCAATGAAGAAGTATGCCATTGATCATGGTTATTGAGCGTAGAACATCATCGTGCTGGAAAAGAAAATGATTAGACACATGACTCTCATAGAATCAAGTCCAAAAACAAAGACACTACATGAACAACTATCTATGCAATGCATAAGACGAAAAAAGGAAGAAAAAAAAAATCCAAAGGGAGATAAGCACAACCCAAGTGACGCCTTAACTTCTATCTTTGCACACTCGGGTATAAAATAACAATGCATGGACTCATTTCTTTTCCAGTGACAATGGCTTCGGTTCATCTGAAGCCGAAGAGGAGTAGCTGGTAGGTGTGCCGCCTCCAGCATCAATACTTGCTTTCGAACGCTTTTCTCGGATAGCAAGACGAGATTTGGGGTAGGATGGCGGTCTAGGGGCGAGATATCTATCCAAAAGTTCGCTCAAGATGGGCGAGCGGACCGGTTTCGGAAGATAATTATTCATGCCGGCCTCCAGGCATTTCTCGCGATCCCCTTCGATGGCACTGGCGGTCATGGCGATGACTAGAACCTCATTAACATTTGGGTCGGGATCCCGGCGAAGCTCGCGGGTCGCGTTGTATCCGTCAAGAGTGGGCATCATCACGTCCATGAGGACCACATGGAATGGATTGCCTTCTTGGGAGCTTGCACGCAGAGCATCGACGGCTTGCTTGCCGTCGCTGTATGCCTCGCACTGAAGACCCAGACCAGTGACGAATTTGACTGCGATCTTTTGGTTGATTGGGTTGTCTTCGGCAATGCACACTCGAATCTGGTTACGAGGGATTTGAGTGAGGTCGCGAGCTGAGGCTCGACGCACTTCGTTTTCTGCATTGCTGAGATCTTGTGCCCAGGCAGTTTTGACGGCTGTCTTCTTGGGTGCTTTGTTGAAGACCAAATGGAATGTCACGGTTGTTCCCACCCCCGAAGTCGATTCAAGCCAGATAGCTCCACCGAGAACATCTTCAATAATAGCTTTACAGATTGACAGGCCAAGGCCACTACCGCCATATGATCGTTCCGTGGATGCATCAGCCTGTGAGAATGGCCGGAAGAGGCGCGCCTTTTGTTCGTCTGGAATGCCGATGCCGGTGTCGCTCACCGAGCATTCAAGGCGAACACGACCTTTGCCCTCGCGTACGACCTTCGCTTTGACTGTAACGGATCCGGCAGGAGTGAACTTGTAACTATTGCTGAGGAGATTCATGAAAATTTGGTGAAGACGAACAGGGTCGCCTAGGACAACGAGTTCTGGCGGTACCTTATCGAGGTTCTCGATGGTCTCTAACCCTCTGTCACGATGCGTGTATCGCAAAGCCCGGATGACTTCTGATATGGTTTGTTTTAAATTGAGTGGGACAGTCGAAATCTTCATTTTTCCGGCCTCGAGCTTTGAGAAATCCAGAATGTCGTTGATGAGAGTGAGCAAGGTATCAGCACACACACGAATCGATTCGACATATTCATCTTGCTCCTTGTCGAGGTAAGTGCCCTTGAGAAGCTCCGACAGACCAATCACGCCGTTCATTGGAGTGCGCAGGTCGTGAGAAATGTTCGCAAGGAAAATTGATTTGGCCCTCGCTGCGTCTTCCTTTAGCTTCACGTTATGTTTGGCTTCGGCTTCCGCATTCTTTGCCTTCTGCTCGGCCTCGCGTGCCAATGCCAACGCACGCTTTTGGGACTCAATCATGGAAGCATTCTTGGCGCTGACCTTGCGAATCTCACGGAAGAGTAACGCGTTGGACAACGAAATACCAATTTGGTTGCAAAGCAAATGCAGGACCACAACGTTGCGCTGTGTGAACCAA